ACGCGGGTGGGTGTGGGGGGGTGGGAGCTGGGTGAGGTCCGTGGTCAGGGGGTGATCCCGCCTGCGGCGTGCGTCTCGGCGCGCGCAATTCCTTCTGCAACGTGTGTTGGCACGTGTGATCCCGTGCGCAGCGTGCGCCTTGCTACATGTGATCCCGCGTGCGGCGTGCGCCGTGGCACGCGTGATCCGCGCAGGTCGGTGTGTGCAATCGCGTGTTCAGCACGTGCTTCGGTACACGCGACTCCGCGTGTGGTGGGATCGCACACAGCGCGGTGCATATGTGCAGCCTGCAGCTCCGTGCATGCAGTCCTGCATGCGGCGCACGTCTTGGCACACGCAGTCCTGCATGCGGCATGCATCTTGGCACACGCAGTCCTGCCTGCAGTGTGCGTCTTGGGGCATAGAGTCCTGCCTGCAGCATGCATTTTGGGGTGCGCAGCCCTGCATGCAGCGTGCATCTCGGCATGCGCAGTCCTGCATGCGGTGTGCATCTTGGCACGTGCAGTCCTGCATGCAGCATGTCTTGGCACACGCAGTCCTGCCTGCAGTGTGCATCTTGGGGCATGCAGTCCTGCCTGCAGCATGCATTTTAGGGTGCGCAGTCCTGCATGCAGTGTGCATCTTGGCACGTGCAGTCCTGCATGCAGCATGTCTTGGCACACGCAGTCCTGCCTGCAGTGTGCATCTTGGGGCATGCAGTCCTGCCTGCAGCATGCATTTTGGGGTGCAGTGGGCAGGCTGCCGGCAAAAGCCTCGTAAGCACAGTCCTGCCTGCAGTGTGCGTCTTGGGGTGTGCAGTCCTGCATGCAGCATGTGTCTTGGCACACGCAGTCCTGCCTGCAGCGTGCATCTTGGGGTGCGCAGTCCTGCATGCAGCATGCATTTTGGGGTGCACAGTCCTGCATGCAGCGTGCATCTCGGCATGCACAGTCCTGCCTGCAGTGTGCGTCTTGGGGTGTGCAGTCCTGCATGCAGCGTGTGTCTTGGCACACGCAGTCCTGCATGCAGCGTGCATCTTGGGGTGCGCAGTCCTGCCTGCAGCGTGCGCCTGGGTGTGCGCGGCCCTGCGTGCAGCTCTGCGCAGTGCAGTGTGCATCCCAACACTGCCACCCAGCAGCACGGCCGTGCTTTGCAGCGGGCCGGACGGGTGCTGCAGCTTGTGGAAATAAATGCTTTGCAGGGTGGGCAATATGGAGACGAACAAAGCAGCTGCGGGGAGGGAGCAGGGAGGTTTTGCTGCCTGCTCAGGCCCCCCAGGGGTGTCTCCAATCCCCTCTGGGGATGCTGCGGCTCTCCAGGAGCGCATCCCTTGCTCTTGCACATCACTTGCAGACGCAAACCAGGACTCCGCAGCAGTCTGGCAGCTGGTGCTGCAGGATTTGAGCCCAGGGTGGGAGCGAGCATCACAGCATGGGGAACTGGGTGCCTCAGCGCCGACTGATCCCCACCGGTGATGCCGGAGGCTCCGTGCCGCTGACAGCAGACTCTGACCTGATTGCTGGGGCTGGTTTGTCTTGCGCTGTGATTTCACAAAGTGATGGTGTAACCGCTTACTCCATCACAGCTTGATCCAGATCCTGGTACCCAGTGCAGGGACAAGAGAGGCTGTGAGGCCCCAAAACCCCCCACCCCATATGATGCTCTCAGCATCCTCCCCACTGCCGCTCCCTGGACAGGGGCTGGGGGGGGAACCGGCCCCAGCATGGACCCCATCACGCTTCACCAAAGCGGGCAGGAAAAATTCACTAGATAAGCACAAACTCCCCCAAAGCAGCCCTGGCCACCCCTTGGGGCTCCCTTCACCCCGGGGAGACCGCACACCCCGTGGCTCCACGTGTGCCTTCGACGCTGTGGGACGTCACCAGACCAT